GGTGTTTTACATCGATTACAAGCCCTGAGAAAAGCCGTAATTGAACACGTGTAAAATTACGATAATTTCACTTGATCATATCGATGAAGTAATGTTAACGTTTGATATCATGTTTAACCCTTTAAACTGCACTTAAACTTGTTGGTGTTTGATTGAAACATCTTCTCCGAAAGTCTTTGTAAATCCGGTAATCTTCGGAAAATGCTCGGAAACGTTCTTGTGGCCTTCGGATAATTTTTGGAGAGTCTTTGGAAATCTTTGGAAAGTAGTCGGAAACTTCGGAAAACTGTCAAAAAACGTCGTTANTTCGGGAAATGCTCGGATAACTTTTGGAGAGTCTTTGGAAATCTTTGGAAAGTAGTCGGAAACTTCGGAAAACTGTCAAAAAACGTCGTTATTATAATACAAGGTTGCTTGTAAATGTGGAATTTCTCTTCTCGTGTTTAACTTTGTATCTCACTTCTTAGCTGCGCTCACTCGTGAGATATCGCGTTGAACACTCGAAGATAAATTCGATATCTACGCGCGCCCATGTCTAATTCCCTATTTATCAAACACTAATGAATCCTAAATCGTAATCAGCAATATACAAGCATTGGCATGACCCGTTTCCAGAGAGACAATCCGACCTGAAAATTCTAACTTTCAGTACTTTTCGTCCAGAAGCAAGTTTTTTTCGTGTTTCTATTATATTTCTTCTGAAGACTAAAAAAAGACTGGTTTGAATAGGTTCTGGGCATAATTTTCTCATAACAAACTGTTCTGGCTTCTAAAAATTCTCGCCAATTTCACCTGATTAATCATTTCTCTCTCTTTGTTGACTAGAAAAAATGAGAGAGTGCTTTTCATCAGAAGGAATTTACCGTTATCTAACGTTATCTAGTCTGGCTTATATTTGCAGAGGACTTTGTGCTTATAAGAAGTTTCTAGCTAACCCTAGATTACATAAGGTAAACACCTAACGTTAACGACTCAAAACTCGATAGGGAACTGGAATAACAACAAATTCTGCGGTCGTAGAGTGGGCATTACAAGCTTCTGAAAAAACTGCAATGACGTATATAATACAAAAGAACCCTCAATGAGGATTTAGAACTTAAGACTGAATCTAAATACAAGCCTACAGGCTTCGGATCGAACGGCCTAACCCTCTAAATGATTTTTGCCTTTGAGGTTTCAAGGGCATATTTCGAGTCTTAAAAGTACGCAAAATGTTATTTGCTGTAACTATCCGCAATATCTGGCGATGACCGATAAACAGGCGCATTTTGATCGAACGACCACCATCTTCAATTAAACCTCGGAAGAGGCTTGGATAGAGACAAGAAGGTGACCTGGTAGTTAAGGTTAGGCCACAAGAGAAGTAAGGGGGAGGGGGTGAAGAAGGAAAATTTGTCCCGTCTCCCTATCCGCCTACTATCCGTAAGCCAAAATGACAGCTAATCTACTCGATCGCCAGTCACTACCGACACCTCGCGAGTACACCATGCACACAAAAAAAGGCTGCTCTGTAGGCTAGAAAAAAAACCAGTTACATCCTTAATCAGGGATGTTTGANAACAAACTGTTCTGGCTTCTAAAAATTCTCGCCAATTTTCTCCTGGTTAATCATGATTTCTTTGCCTTTGTTGACTAGAAAAAATGACGGAGTGCATTTCATCAGAAGGAATTTACCGTTATCTACCTAGACAGGCTTATATTTGCAGAGGGCTTTGTGTTTATAAGAATTTTCTAGCTAACCGTAAAATACACGAGGTGAACATCTAACGTTAACGACTCAAAACACGATAGCGAACTGGAATAACAATAACAAATTCTGCAGTCGTCGAGTAGGTATTACAACTCAGCTTTGGAACAAACTGCTATGACAAATATAATACAAAAGAAATCTCAGTGGAGATTTAGGACTTAAGACTGAATCTAAACACAAGCCTATAGGCTTCGGATCGAACGGCCTAATATCTAAACGATTATTGCGTTTGAGGTTTCAAGAGCATATTTTCGAGTCTGAAAAGTAGGAAAATGTTATTTTCTGTAACTATGCCCAATATCTGACGATGACCGATACATTTAATATGCTGGATTCCTAGAGATAACGTAAACAGGTGCATTTTGATCAAGCGACCACCAGCTTCAATTCAAACCCGGAAGAGGCTTAGATGGAGACAAAACGGTGCCCTGGTAGTTGGGGTTAGGCCACAAGAGGGGTAGGAGCTGGAATAATGGGCAGGGGAAGAAGAAAGAAAAATTTTCCCATCTCTTTCACCGCCCACTATTCCTAAGCCAACATGGCGGCTAATCTACTCGATCACAAGTCACTACGGATACCTCGCGAATACACCGTGCACGCAGAAAACAGCTGCTCTGTAGGCTAGGAAAAGAAAAAGAAAAAAAAAACAGTTACATCCTTAATCAGGGATGTTTAAGAGAAGGAGTAAAAAACTTAAAAAACGTACTCATCACTAGCTGTCAGCGATCATTAGATACTCTTCATTCAAAAATTTAATTCTGATATCAAGAGCACGCTTTTCTGACTCAAGGGCGGCGGTGTAATCAGTCAGCGAATGCTGTGTAACTCCTAGTGAATGGTAGCTGTCAGCGGTCTTGGGATGTTCTTCACCAAACAATTTAACTCTGATATCAAGAGCACGCTT